GATCTGTTTTTCCTGCTGTTTATCATATAGCGCTTATTTTCTTACATGCTTGGTTACTTTTGCTTATGAACGGTATATTTACAATATTTTAAAGGAAGTTTTTGGAGACCTCGGATGATGTTATTGTCCTCCAGGGAGGATTTGTATTTATTTCTGTCAGGTACCTGCTGGCAGCAGCACTCTAGGTAGTTCTAATCAATGACTGGGTTTGAAGCTAAGCAGCACACCATGAAAAGATATGTCCGCCCTCATTGCTAAGGTGTGCTTTTCAGGGTCTGGGTGCAAATCAGCCAGCCTAGAGGACTCTGGCCCCTGGATGCATGAAATTGTCAAGAACATCGCTCACCCTTGAAATTCCCCTCTAGAACAGGCAACTCCTCCAGGAGAAGTGAGTCCACACACTGAGCCCATCTCATGGGGCCTCTGTTTCCCTCCAGCTCCCTGAGCTTAAACTAATCTGTTATCTCTGCTGTGCTCAAAAAGAAGACAGCTTCTTTTGTCTACTTTTGTCCAGATTTTAAGTTTTCAATAGAAACTTTCCTGTAAATTACTCAGCTTGCTATTACTAAAGGTGGAAGTTATTAATTTTCCAATGTTAAAATGAATATTGCATTTTTGGAACTTACCTGATTTTAAATTTGATTTGCTAGCTTTTATAATTTATTAGTGGATTTTACAGGAATGTTTGGTGGTGGTGGTGGTACTAGGGATTTAGCTCAGGGCCTATGTACTGAATTCTGTCTCAGCCCGTTGAATTTTATTTTATTTTTTAAATTTTTAGACAGGGTCTCACTAGGTCACCCAGGTGGGCTCAAATTTGTGATCTGCTTGCTTCAGTCTCCAGAAGTGCTAGGATTACAGCATGTGCTAGGATGCCTGGCTTATTTGTTAATATTTATATAGGATTTTTGATTCTGTGTTTCAGAGTGAGGTTGACTTGTAATTTGCTTGCTCAGGCAGTCCTTTTCTGACATCATAAAATAAACTGATGTTATTTGATACTTCTTTCGATTCATTTAATATTCTTTTTACATTCTTCAGAAGAGTACCTAAAAGATTGTTATTACTGCTTCCTAAACCTTGAGTAGGTTGCTAGTGAAGACACCTGAACCTGTTATTTTCTCGGCAGGACAAATTTTAATTACAGACTCAAATTTTAAAAAATAGCTATAACACCTTTCAGATTTTTGTATTTGGCTTTTTATCAATGTTGATTGATATTTTATATATTTATGGTAATTTGTCCATATATCTATATTTTAAAGTTTATTAGCAAAATTTGTTCAGAAGAACCTCTTTTTATCTTTTTTATGTGTACAAAATATATAGTGATGTCTTCTCATTGCTGATATTGGTTATTTTTGCCTTCTTTCTGTTTTGCAAAATTAATCTTGCCAAAGTTTTATCAATTTTATTCATCCTTTCAAAGAACAAATATGTATATGTTTGGTACTGGGAATTGAACTCAGGACCTTGTGCTTGTGAGGTAGGTGCTTGTGCCCCTGAGCTATATCAAAGAGCAAATATTTGGCTTTATTGATCCTCTTAGTTGTATATTTGCTTCTATATTAATACTTTTTGTTTTTATCATTATAATTTCCTTCCATAAATTTAATTTGTGGTACTTTTCCTAAATTTTAAGGTGAATGATTAGCTTATTAATCATTTCTGCTTTTCTAATTTTTCCAGTTAAAGTTATAAATTTCTCTATAAGAAAAATTGTCTATATTCCATAAATTTTGATATGTATTTTAAAAATCACTTAATTTACACTTATTAAATGGGGTTTTCAGTATATTCCTTTTGTTCCAAATAGGCAGATATTTTCTATAGACGTATATATATTGTATCTGAGACAGACTTACAATAGTTTGCTTAGGCTAATTTTGAACTGCTGGGCTCAAGAAATCTTTATGCTTTAACCTCCCCAGGAACTGGGGCTATAGGTATGTGCCACCTTGCTCAGTTCTACTTATGTTTTTGTTATTAATTTCTAGTGATTATTAAAGTCATATCTTATATAAATTTTAGTCTTTTGAAATCTGTTGAAATTGCTTTTTGGCATTTATTATTCTACTATATCCTTTCTGTTGTTCCTATTTTTCACTCTGCTTTCTTTTGAATTATTTCTGGTTATTTCTATTTCAGTTTGGAAAGTACATACTCTTACTCTTTCTTGGTGAAGTACATTCTGTCTTACTATTTCTTGGTGATTCTACACAAATGAAAATGACCTGAATCATTGGCTTGTCATACTTATATGTTAATTAGCTACTTTTATTGTTCACCTGGATAATGCAGTGCAAAGTTATTTTAGTTTTTTCAACCCCCACAGTAAATGTAACATCACACACAGATACACACACACACATATGTGCACGTGTGCACATGCAGTGTGTCCTAGGGCTTCACATGTGCCAGGCAAGTGCTTCACCACTGAGGTGTGCACGGCCCTTAGACTAGTATTTTCTTTCCAACCTCTGATAGGATTCAGCTCTACTCAGAACAGAAAATTGTTAATGGAAAGAGAGAAACATCATTACTCTTGGGTTTGGACTTTTACTCAAAACCAGCCGGGGAAGGGCCACAAAATAGAGAGATCAGGTGAGCAGCACTAAGGAGGGTGAAAGGCAGAGCTCAAGAGACAGAAAGCAGGGCCACCGACCCTGTTAGAGCCTGAGGGGTGAGTTTCCCCAAAAGCAATCCTGTAGCCTCCCGAATACACGTTCTACCAGAGCACTTGCTGCCAGTAACCGGGGCACCTGAGGTCTTGGCCTGCAGTCCATGTAGGCAATGTCTTGGGAGCACGGATCTTTCAAAAGTTTTATCAGATTTCTCCTTAAAGGGGCGGCTGGAGCTGTGGAGAGCAGGCCAGGCGCTGAGAACAGAGAGGCACAGTCACAGATGCCATGCGCGCGCTGGTATATTTCATCTGGAAAATGCTCTGAGCCAAACTGGTCAAACACTGGGGGTATTATCTTCAAACCAGGCCACTAGACATTTGCCCAAAGAGGGTATTGTTTCGTTCATTTGGTTCTTGGAGCCGTGTAGCAGGTCACTTGGCGCTTTAGAGGAAAGGAATGAGGGGTACTCGGGAGTTGGGTAGATGGAGTACAGAACACGTTCCACTAGAGGCAGGGCTGGCCTGGGTTTCCAAGCCCTGATGCTGGCCATTTTAGTATCTCAGATTAAGGAAGGGTTCTCGACCATGAGGTAATTAACCAGCCTCTGTTCCTTCTGCGCCACCACGTGGGGGTCTAGGGTACTGGGAGGGTCTGGGCCCGAATTCCTGCAGACCTCCCCCATATTACAAGGCCCTGGCCCTGATGAGGGGGCTCTTCCTCCACTGACCATTCCACTTCTGATTCTCTTAGTGCTCTGGAGCCCGTCGTAAGAACAGAAAGTGCTGTCAGAGCAGGGGTTTCTCAAGGACCCGGATCTATGCCATCAGTTGAGGAACATAGCAAGCCAGAAAGGTCTATTTTCGCTCTGCTTTATCTGAGAGGGAAAAAGGAAGATTAAAAATAAAGCAATTGTGCTCATTTACTCGCATGTTTAAGAGCAGAACGTTCTCCCAGTCTATTGAGCTCAGCAGAAACACCCAATCTCGAATGGTGGATTTTAAGGGTTAGCAAGTCTCTAAGGAAGTCGGGGAGAGTCAGTGAGAGCATCCAATCTCCTGGGCCACCTCCAAAAGGACCCTCACTCCACATTTGGGCTGGAATGGAAGATTAAGCCTCCTGGGTCCTACTTATGCCTTGTCAAGTACTCTGGTCCTCATTTTGTGTCCTCAGCCAAACCCTCAAACTCTTCTAGTTCTTCTCATTTCCTAAGACCCAGACTCGCCCTGCCCAATGGGTCTCCCTGCTCAGGCTACCCAGGATCAGAGTATCTTTTTCTTCCTGGTCAGGGCTAAAGGGCCCATGTACGGAGGGGCTGGACATTTGACAATGCCCCCTCCCCCCGAGGCCCAGCCCTTGATGCTCCAGAAACATGTTTTTGGCTACGAGTGTAAGAAAATTTGTTAATATACTTGACAGATACAGATTTTAAATTTATCCTGTTTTTTATATTAAAATATAAAAACATTTTACTGAGGTATAATATATATAAAGAGAAGTGCACAGCTTTTAACGTACAGCTCGTTAAACTGTCACAAAGTGCACTTGCCAAAGTAACCATCATCCAGCTCAAGGAAAAGGTGCCCAGATATCACAGAGGAGCCCAGGTCTAGAAATCATATTTTGTTTGTTTTTTCCCAGTTTTAGAAATCTTGCTAGGGGCCAGATGAAGTTGAATGCTAGTTTCTATGCTACATGTCCTGAAAGATTTCCAAATCTTGCCCAGTATTGTCTTTCACTGTGCTCTAACTTTGCAGAGATCTGGTGTCCCACTAGATGGAAGGCTTCTGGAGGATAGGCCCCCTGCTCTATGTGGCGTTCTCTGTAGGCAGAATGCCAGTGACTGGAGGAGTTCAAAACCCAGGCATACAGGTGAACCACCCTCAGGTCAGGGGCTGTTAGGCTTCGTTCTGTGCTTTTGGGTGTTGGAGGGCGCTGTGGTTTGGGTCTGAAGTGTCCCTGTAAAGCCTGTTGTGCTCAGAAGCAAGGTTCTCAGAAGGTGATGGCTGTGGGAGTGAGGCTCCTCTCCCCGGGTCCTCCCTTCCCTCTCTGCTTCCTGGTCTCATTGATATGAGCAGCTTTCCTGCACAGCAGGCTCTTCCTCCATGGCATGTCTGCCTGGGAGCTCACTGACTATGGACTGAAACCTCTAAAAAAAAGTGAGCTAAAATAAACCTCTCCTTTAAGTTGTGGGACTCGGGTATTGTGTCTCAGCAGTAAGTAAGAAAGTGAGTAGGGCAGGGAAGAACAAATGACCAGGGACTCAGCATAGAATCGCGGACCACTTTGTCACCTCTGCTGCAGTCAAGGGGGTGGGCAGTCTCTTAGCTCAAGGCAGAGAGGAATTGGCCGTAACCAGCTGTCTCTGCTCTTCTGCAGGCCCTGCCATCCCGGTGGGTGTGGACGTGCAGGTGGAGAGTCTGGACAGCATCTCCGAGGTGGACATGGTATGCACGCCCAGGGCTGGCGGCCCCCGGGGAAGGTCACACGGCTGAGATGTTGTGGGAGCGTGTGGCATGGTGGCCTTGGTGGTGCAGGCTGTGCCTGTGAGCACACAGTGGGAGCCGAAGGTGATAAAATAGGGAGTTGGAAGTTGGGTTAGGGACAGCAAAATCTAGAACAGTGTTCTCAAGCTTCATGGGTTAGCTACAGTTTCATTTGCAAAGTTTAGAGAGTGGGCAGCTCAGTCGCCTGAAGTCCCGTCACATCGGCCACTGTGCCAGGGCTGAAGAGCTGTCGCTCCTGTCTGGAGCTGAGCCTGCAGTGTCCACCACAGTGAAGTAGGACGGGACTGTGGGGAAGGAAGCTCTAAATCACTTCTGTCTGGTCTTGCCCGCGGCTCCTCAGGACTTCACCATGACTCTATATCTGAGACACTACTGGAAGGACGAGAGGCTGGCCTTTCCCAGCACCAGCAACAAGAGTATGACCTTCGATGGCCGCCTGGTGAAGAAGATCTGGGTCCCTGACGTCTTCTTTGTTCACTCCAAAAGGTCGTTCATCCATGACACCACCACTGACAACATCATGCTGAGGGTGTTTCCGGACGGCCAAGTGCTGTACAGCATGAGGTGATATTCACAAAGCCACTGTCCCTTTGTCCAGTATGATGCCAATGTTGTGGTCAGCGCCTTTGGCCCTGAAGTTTGTCACTGTGGCTGGGTCTGTGGGATGGCACAAGCTTTCGCTGTCAGTCCAAATTGTCTGAAGGTGAAATGGCCACCCCCGTAGGTGGTGACCTCCTCTTCAGTGCCGCTCATAAGCTTATATTAGAAGACTACTTTGGCCATAATGAGTTGCCGGACACGAATACCTCCTAGGAGAGTCTATAGTTCTAGTTTATTGGTAATAAAGATAAGAAAAAACCTCACTAGTACTTATGTGTATTGAGGGCTGCTGCAGAATGGCTTCTGGCCTTACTAGAGTGATGCAAATCATCACATCTATTCCACATCTTCCTGGCCTGCTTGTATGATTTACCAGAATTCAGTGCTAATGCCAATCACTTTCTGGCCTTGGGTGGCATGAAGCATGAGCCTCCTAGGCATCTCTGAGGGGAGGCAGCCCTGCTGGCTGAGGGCCATGACCAGCGAAGGGTCCCGGGGTGGGTCACTAACAGCCAAGCCTCACCCCAGTAGCCAGAGAGGGGAGCAGCATCCCAGTAAAGGGGATCCAGTGGGGCGGCAGTAACCACTTCCACAGAAGACAAAACTAGGGGTTCATTACGGTTTTGTGCCTGTGTTTCCAGACTTCAGAAGCAGACACGGCTGTATTCTGTGTCTTCCTAACTCTGGGCGGGTGTGAGCCGGTAGCTCACTGCACAAGCCAACATTTGCGTTTGTGTCATGTAGGATTACTGTCACTGCCATGTGCAACATGGACTTCAGCCACTTTCCCCTGGACTCCCAGACCTGCTCGCTGGAGCTGGAGAGCTGTAAGTATCAGTGTTTTCAATTCCTTCGCCTTATTTCCTCTCGTCTTTCTGCTGGTTGCATAGCCTTGAGACCGAGTGCTGCCTGTCAGCTGTAGGGCCTGTTTCCCCCTCAGCTGCTGTAGGGTTTCTCTGGTGCTTCACGCTGCGTCAGAAGCAAAGGAGTCCAAGTAACTTGTTTTCCTCTCCCCAAAGATGCATACACAGATGAAGATCTGATGCTGTATTGGAAGAACGGGGATGAATCCCTGAAAACAGATGAGAAGATCTCCTTATCTCAGTTTTTGATTCAGAAATTTCACACAACTTCCAGACTGGCCTTCTACAGCAGTACTGGTAGCTAACTTTTGCCACAGTTTGATTCAGATGTGAGGGGGAAAAGCATTACAATTCTTCTTCAGCTGTAAACTCTTCTATTCTCAATGAAAATCAAGTCTGAATGTTAAAACAATGCACAGTTCCAAAATATAAACAGTGTTTAAAAGCAAGGAGCAGAGGGTAAAAAAAAAAAAAATTGTTCTCCCTGAGAGCCCATTGCCAGAGGTAACACTCTTCAGGGTATTTAGCTTTAAGTGTACAGTTTTCTAAGGAGGGAGCTGTGTTTTAGGTGCTGTTCTATAACCTGACTTGTTCTGCTTACCAATATGGATGGATGGATGGTTTCCAAGGGAATATATTTATTAGCTATATTGATACCTTAGGTTATTTCATGTTTGGCTGGTTCTGGAAATTGAACACAGGGCCCTGAGTATGCTAACTACATGTTCTACCATAGACTTACACCCTAGGGGCCAGTAGGTACATTTTTCTCATGCTTAATTTAATCTCTTCTTGGGTCTTGGGCTACATTTGAAGTCTTGGGAGGATCCATCTGTCAGCTGTCTCTAATCTCACCTTTAACTCTGAGATTCATTTCTTATGATTGCTGTAACAAAGTACCACAAACCAGATAATTAAAACAGCAGAAATCTATCTCTTATGATTTTTGAGGCCAGAGATCTGATGGCCGTGCTCCCTTTGAAGAATCCTCTAGGGAAGAACCCTTCCAACATGTTCCCAGTTTCCAGTGGCAGCCAGCAATTGTTGGCATTCCTTGGCTTGCTGCTGCATCCCTTGGATCTCTGCCTCTGTCATCAAATGGCCTCCCACACCCTCAGCCTGGAGCTGGGACGCACAAGTGTATCCTCATGTGCTGTTCTCCTCCCTGTGTGTCCAGGCCCAAGGTTCTCTCTCCTGTAGTCACCAGTCGTTGGATTAGGGCCCATCCTAATCCAGTATGACCTCATTTTACCTTATTCACTTCTGCAAAGACCCCATTTCCAAATGAGGTTACATTCATAGGTACTGGGCGTTAGAACCTGCACATATCTTATAAGAAGTTGAAGTGTCAGGAGTAGAGCTAATGACAGGCTTTAAGATGGTGTGAATGGCCTATTACTTCTTGAGATAGATATAGAGAGAGAGTGAGTGACCATCTCACAGTTACAAGGACAGTGAGGAAACCCCAGATCTCCTGGCTCCTGCTTCCACAGTATTGGCTTCAACAATAACAACAAAACCAACTCCCACTGTGCTCCTGAGCAGCCCATCCCTCAGGAAATATGGTTGTGGTTTGCAAGTAACAAACATCAAACCAACAACTAAATCTACACCTCTGTTTTATTCTACCTTTCCCCAAACTGCTGTGAGTAAATGTTAGATAATACAACATAAGACAGGAAATGTACTACATATTCACAAGATACTTATTCATGCGAGACAGACCTTAGATTTTGGAAAAGAAAGATATTGTATTAAGCTGACTGGTCACTGAGTTTAACTTTTGCTGTTGACGGGAGCAATGTCAGGGAGGACGGCTCCCAAGAAGGAGTTTGTTTTCACCCTGATGGAGCCTCACTGGCTTCTTCTTGTCTCCCAGGCTGGTACAACCGTCTGTACATCAACTTCACGCTGCATCGCCACATCTTCTTCTTCTTGCTGCAAACCTATTTCCCTGCTACCTTGATGGTCATGCTGTCCTGGGTGTCCTTCTGGATTGACCACAGAGCTGTGCCCGCCAGAGTCTCACTGGGTAAAGTATTTGATAAGGTGTGGTAGAGTGGTTATTTTCTCAAACGATCACTAAGTAAAGGAAGACTAACAGGAATCTTAACGGATGGGGAGGTAGAGTCAGAGGAAGCAACTTCTTCCCCCGCCTCTTGCCTGCACCATTCCGGTGAAGCTTCAGTCTCCTCTACACTATGAAAACAACGGGGAACTAGAACCCCACCTGTCTGGATTGAATTCATGAAGACATAGCCTATTTGGGGTACAGATGTCTGCAACTTGCGGTATTAGCAGTCAGTACTTAGATAAATAGCATGATTCTGCAAATGCCAGAAACTTATTCTGTAAATACAAAAATTTCCTTTGTTGGCCTTGTTTAAACGAGGGTATGGGGGCAGGGCCCACACTACACAACTTTGGGGAAAAGGGTGGGATGTGTGCCCTGGAGCTGTAGTTTCAGCCCTTCCTGACCCTGAGTTCCAGACTGAGAGCTTATGATTTATGAATCCAGTTTGACATCCAGTTGAGCTCTGAGAAAGGGAGGGTTTTAACAGCAAGACACAACGAGAAGCAGCATAGCAGGGTTCCAGGAATTTACATCTTCACGGGCTTAAATAAATGCAGCTTAGATGAGAGAGAATTGATTATTCCTCAAGGTTTGATAAAATTCTTTTAGAGGTGTCCTTTTGCTTTGTTTTGTTGCACTGGACATTGACCCAGGCCTTTCACACTGAGCTACATCCCCACCCCTTCTTTATTTTTGATTTTGAAAAGACAGTATCTTTTTAAGTTGTACAGGCTGGGCTTGAACTTGTGATCTGCCTGCCTCAGCTTCCCAGAGTGCTGGGCCTGCGGGTTTGTGCGGTCATGCCCAGCTCTGAGTTACTTTTTAATTCCACATCAGAAGAGACCCTTTATAGAGGACTCCTGACCTTGTCAGCCCCACCACAGAATCTACTCCGTGTCCCAAGCTGCTTGGGAACAAGCAGATATTGAGTGGGGTGTGGAAATGGCCTGACTGAGGAGCAGAATCCTACAGCTCTACCAAGTGGAAACACATCTGGGCAGTTTCTCATTCCAGTTCAGAGACACAGAAAGTGAAGTTTTGGCTCTGTGAGATTCGGGGGTAGCTCTGCGCCAGTATGAGCGGCTGATCCAAGACTGGGTTTTGCAGGCATCACGACGGTGCTGACCATGTCCACCATCATCACGGGCGTGAACGCCTCCATGCCCCGTGTGTCCTACATCAAGGCCGTGGACATCTACCTCTGGGTGAGCTTCGTGTTCGTGTTCCTCTCGGTGCTGGAGTATGCGGCTGTCAACTACCTGACCACCGTGCAGGAGCGGAAGGAGCGGAAGCTGCGGGAGAAGGTGCGGGAGGTGTCATCATGGCCCGAGCTCAGCCGGTGCTGCTGGTTGGAAGAGAAGGGGATGATGGTCCACTGGGCAGGGGCAGTGCGGGGGTGCTGCACGTAGAACAGTCAGAACCACCTTGTTTTAGAATGGGCTTTAGCTTCTATTACAAAGGATCTGAGAAAGCAGAAAGTCTTTGGGAAAAGCCTAGGAAGACTTGGGTGTAGGCCCAACTTGCCACCTAAGCAGGGCCTCACTTTCCTCATCTGTAAAAAGGGGATTACCCAACCCTCACCCCACCTTCAGCCCAGCGCTAATGCAAGAGGCACATGAGATGGCATGTGTAAAGGTTGCTTTGAAAGTGTAGGATTCCAGACACATAGAAAGTATCACTGTTCTTATTGAACGTGTCCAGGGAAAATTCTTGTCCTGTGACCGGAGGGGAGGGGAGAGTTCTGGAACAAAATGCTCTTTTATTGATAAGCGCTCTGGTCCAGTGAAAATTTAGCCACAGTAACGATGAAGGCTAAGTATTGTCTTTTACCCTTTAGGCTCTTTGGAATGACTACACCATCTGTACTAACCTGCCCCGTACCACACTATACAATGAAACAACACAAATGGGAAATTTTTATAAAGCAGTGTTCACGGGTACAGAAAGGAGAGGTCTGTTTCACTCATATTGCAATTTTCATTAATCCTAAGAAGAAATAAAATGCTGATTTGTCACCAAATCATTGCTAACCATTGCATTAATTCAAATGGTGATCACCTAAAAGGTGTAGAGATCAGGGAACACGCAAATCCCACATTTGTGCACATGGAGGTGCCTACTGGCCCCTTAGCATAAGGTGCTTTACGTTTTGGGAAAAGAGGGCATATTTCCTTTTCAAAAAAGTATTAATGCCCGCTTTATGCCTGTCAAATATTTCTACATTGTCTCCATATGTACCAACATTTAAGGATTTATCTATAAAATTATTCAAATCGTTTTTACTTTGGTGTTTGAGTACCTGTTTGAGTTTTTGATAATTTGTACATTGATTATTATCAAATACCTTCGGGTTATATTTAAATACTTTTGACTTAAAATCCATTAGACTTTCCTTTTCAAAGAATACCAAAGCCTTCATCTAGCAAACATGGGCTCTTGATCCATTAACAGCATGAGTCTTACATTCAGGCAGTCCATTAACCTAGTGCTGTACCGTGGGCCCTGGTCTTTGCTGGGGATTATAAGACACTGGAGAGCAACAGGGCAGTCTGTCTTGCTCTGTATGAGGACAGACGCAGGAGGGGGCGGGGAGTGAGAGTTTCTGTTGCACTGGGGTCGCATGTTGGGTTTGGAGGCTGGGAAGCACAGCTGCTGGAGGGCAGATAGCAGTGGAAGATACAGAATCTCTCTCCTGTTACCCTGCGGAGGAACCAACGCTAGTGATCACTACATTGGCCTCAGTGAAGCCCCTGCTCCCAAATGAGAGTTTTAAAAAGCACCTGCTTTGAAATAAAGGCCCAGGCCTGTTAAGATAAAGATTCTAGGCTGGAGGGGTAGCTCAGGGGTAGAGTGCGTGTCTAGTACATGCAGGGCCCTGGGCTTGATCTGCAGCTTTGCAAAAGTAGATAAATACAAAAGAAGGAAAAGAGGGGCTGGGGATTTAGCTCAGCGGCACAGCACCTGCCTGGCAAGCGCAAGGTCGTGAGTTCGATTTTTGGTACCAGAAAAAAAACTGAAAAAAAAAAAAAAAAAGAAGGAAAAGAGAAGCCTCGCCTCCTCAGCTGCTCCATACAGGAGCTGATTATCTGGACCTGTCTAACATACCAGGACCCACTTCTCTTTCTCAGAAACAAGCTCGTATGCAAAACAGGGGCCTATCATCACTTTGGCCTGTCCTGATTCTAACTCTAAATCTCAGGCAACAGGTCTGTTTGCAGTTTAGCAGAAAGAATTTCAATTTAGAGCAAAGAAGTAAAGATCTATGCCTTTACTGAATAAGTACATGAAAAACCCTCCAGTGACAAAACCTGACAATTTGATCAAAGTTTGAGAGCTGAATAAATGACCTCTTACTGGTTTTTTATTCCTCTAGCTATGAATCTGTTAATTATTCAGGAATGTATTCAAGTGTTACTTAATTACTGCTACTGACAAGACAAGGCATAGATATGATGAAACAATCATACCTGGTTTTTAAAAAGCCCCCAAACCACAAATGATTTCTGCAAGAATAAATAAGAATGCTTCAAGTCATTCTAATTTTGCACATAACCATCTATTTTTACATTCAAAAGTCTCAGGGCATTTGTCTGGGTATTTTATGTAGAAATAGGAGGTGAGTTGTGAGACTTCATTATTTCACTTACCAACACAGTAAATACAGAGGCCCTGGTTAGAAGCAATTAAAGCCAACAAGCTGGAAGGAATAAGCCACGGCCCGTTGCCTGTGTCCAGCAGGCCTCATGCTTTGGCCAACACAATCAGTCCAGGTGTCCGCTGAGAACCCACGCTCTGACTCCGACTGAGGGCGGAAGTCAAAGGAAATAACTTTTCCTTTCTGCCTTACAGTTTTTTTTATAAACATTTCTGTGCTTGAGGAAGTAATGGAAAGAATGGGGAACTGTAATCTAGCTACTCCACACCTAGATCCAGTATTATTAATGTTTTGCCATTTTTGGAGGAGGAAAAGGAGGAAAGAGGAATGTTAAAAAATTCTTCTTTCCCCATATAAACATTTTTTGTTGCTCAACCGTTTAAAAATACATTATAGCCAGATGTGGTGGCACATACCTGTGATCCCAGCACATGGGAGACTGAGGCAGAAGGATTGCTGCAAGTTCAAGGCCAACCTGGACTTCATAGTTCAACCTTGTCTCCAAAAAAAAAAAAAAAAAAAAAATATAAGCACAGTGATCCTTAATTCTTAAAGGTAACTCTTTAGAACAACGGTATTTTTCTACCTAATCATCTCTGACTCCTGCGCTGGGATTAGAATATGTGGGTTTACATTCCTGGCTCTTACATGGTGTGAGCTCAGGGGAAGGTATAGCTCTCTGGGTCTCAGTTTTTGCTGTGCAATTGGACTAGATCAGAAGTTCTCCATTCTGGTTGCATAGTAGGGTCACTTGGGAGTTTTAAATTAATTATGTAGTGTGGGGCCTGGGCGTGGATCAGGTGACTGATATGCAGCCGGGGTAGACTAAATGCTCTCCAGAAGTCCTTCTATCTCTGTCTTTCCCTGCTTCTGAGAAGCAGTCTGGCTTTGCTCTCGAACTGGGCCATGTCCTCTGCCCAGCTCACAGGCTTCAATGAACCCTCTGTGTTTGCTACCCATAGTTCCCGTGCATGTGTGGAATGCCTCATTCGAGAACCATGATGCTGGATGGAAGCGGCAGTGAGTCTGAGGCCAACAGCCTGGCTGGGTACCCGCGAAGTCACATTCTGACAGACGAAAGACAAGAAAAAATAGTGGTCCACCTGGCCTTGAGCAGTGAATCCAGCTCCTCCAGGAAGAAGGGGCTTCTCAAGGGCCAGATGGGGCTTCGTCTCTTCCAGAACACCCATGCCATTGACAAATACTCCAGGTTGATATTCCCTGCCTCCTACATATTTTTCAACTTAATATATTGGTCAGTATTTTCCTAGGGGATCCAAGGCTGTGCAAGCAAAAGGCATGGACATCCGTTGGTGGACACAGGGACCTGTTGGCCATGTTCCCCACACCAGACGGAGCAGCAGCTCCTGGACCACCATGAGCAGCACCTCCCTCTCAGAGGAGCCGAGGGGCCCTCCCCCAGTCCTCATCCTAAACTCACGGGTTTTCCCCTTGTTTATGCTGTGTTCTGTGTCATGCTTTACTTCTCTGGACAAAGCTGTCTTTTGTTTTTGCATGTGAAGTTGGTCACAAGAGCCCCCACTTATTAAAAAAGAGACCCAAATGCCTCCCAGAGGTTTTGAGACCCTCGTGAAGCCTAGACTTCTGTTGTAGAGGGGACAGATAAATGAAGGGCAACCTTAGGGGAATGTGGGTGGGTAACAGGAAATCAGAAACAAAATAATCTGTGATCTCATGTAACTGAACTAAGTGCCTACCTAGGAAAGAAGAACTCAGACAGGAAATGGTTTGACCTATGTGAAGCTGGTGACCCACATGCTTGTATAATATTAGGGGAGATTATTATCCACTCATTCAACCAATCATTACACTTTTACCTACCTTAGTCTTTTCCTCAGAGAACTTCTCTAGATTGTGCTCATTTGTCACACTTCATCACGTACTTGTACCTTTCCCCTCCCCTCCACCCTGCTTACCCCATGGACCCATTCTGTTTATTGGTGCTTTTACTCTAGGTCTGCTTGAAAGTTACTCCCTGCCTCCCATGAGGTTCTCATGAAGCCAGCTCAGTGCTTCCTCCCCTGGAATCTTCATGTGAGACCAACACATCTGGGAAGGATGACAGGGACTTGAGATTCAGTGACAGCACAGGGTCTTAGGAAGAAGCGAGCACAGGTCTGCTGTGGAAATCTATTTTAGGCCCATCCTTCTTCTGTTTCTGGACTCCTCCCTTCTCCAGCAGAACAGTATCCTGAGGGATAATACTCATCCTGTGTCCAAGTCCAGCCCCTTACTCTACCCAGAAGAGCCCATACTTGAAAATGATATTGCCTTCCTTCCACAAGCTAGTGACGTGTCTGTCCCTCTATCAGAGCTAAGCTCAGGATTAGCAAGACTATCTGACTCATCGAATCTACACCAAGTTGTGATGGGCCATGTCTCTTCACCCTGTTTTAGGATACTTCTGGCTGACTTAAGTGCATCTCTAGTTAGTGGAATTTCACGTGGTACAAAGGACATGATTTTTATAAGGGTGCTCTTCCTTGGAGTCAGGAGGATGTTCTTGGGGAGTGGGTTCCCTACTCACTGAAGGACATTGCTCTGTTCTCTCCCTCGTTACTTCACCAACTTCCTTCCAAAGCCTATAGTTTTGGTCAAGAGTAGAAAAATAGTCATCAACAAAGAGGGCATAAACCAGCCTTAAATCAAGTTCTAGCCTGTAAAGTCTGCTCCGCATTCATGACTCCCAGAAGCAGAGATTAGTTCCTGAGCACTGGGGTGCACATGGACACCATAGCCTCCAGGAGTTTCAAATCAGGAGCTTGTGGCTACCTGACCCTCCCACCTCTTCACCATCACTGACCACGCAGTTGTTGTACAAAGTCCTGTTCCTCTGTTGCTTCCCTGGGTCAGTCCTCCACACATTTCCTGAAACAGGATTAAGAGACATGGCCCATCACAACTATTTAAGTTTTAAAAAACTGAAAACTCAGTTCCTCCGTTGCACTAACCATACATTAGCTCAGTAGTCACAGGGCCTACTGATGACTGAATTGGACAGTGCAGAGCTATAAAAATTTCTACAATGGCAGAAAGTTCTGTCAGACAGCACGAGGGCATGAAGGGAAGAGAACAAGTTAGGAATTGCTGAGTACGGGGTTTGTGAGGCTCATCATCCATTTTGCCTGGGTCCTAGGTGTGGGGAGAGCAGAGGCCAGCTCTTTCCACAGTGCTGGGACTCATGGCAGGTCCCCCTCCATGCCACTGCTAATGAGCACAACTTCTCCTGCATGGACTTGTCAGGCCCAAGATCACCTCCTAGATGAGCAAAGGATGAAAGTGTATAAAGAGGATATTTGGATGGCATGAGGCATCTGGGCTTGTTTAAAAACCTTTGATCTCTAGAGACTTTCCTGGGCCACAATGCTATTCAAGGAATGATAATTATATTGTGATTCAATGTATTGTGTTGCTTTGGTTGTTTTATTTAATTCCAACATTATTCCACTTCCAATTGCACTGTCTTCATAAACTGTGGCTCATATAACATGGTTGCCTGTTCACAAAACAAATAAAGAGTATTTTTGCTAGCTGATATATTTGAGTTAATTCTATACCAAACATATTTAGTGTTAGGTTTCTGGCGCAGAAAAGAACCAAATACAAGAAAGAAGGCCTTTACACCGGACATAGAGAAGGGAGGGCAGCATGCGATACCGAAGTCCTCTAGGGCTAGACAAGCGGGCTGGGGTTAAAGACTCTGGCTAGGGGCGGAACTTAAGGGGTGGGCTTAGTGACGTGTCAGGAGCTGATTGGGTTTTTTTTCCGCATGTTGGGGAAGGGCAAGAGGAAGTTGTACTCCGGGCTGAGGGGAGATCACTGGGGAGATAAACTATTGTTTTGGGCTTCAGCCATGTTAGACCACCACCACCATAATAACTCTGCAATTCATACCGGCAGGAACCTATCATTTAGAATCATTAACAGTGTTTAGTAGTGTTGAACTACGTTACAATGACACTACTATATTTACCAGTGATTCATTGCCATATAATAGTCTCACTTTACTTGAGAAAAGTAGAAAATTAAAGGATGTAAAGTGGAGGCCTCAAGAACAGGAGCAGAAGCCTGAACTAAGGAAATGTCGAGAATGTGGACTGATTAACCCATGAGGCAGGAAGACCCAGGATTATCAAGGATACTTGAATGGTACTTTATTTCACTGAATCTAAAATATCGTCCAAGATAAGATGCACACATATTTTATGTGCCACTAAGCAAGAAAAAAATGTTGTTAATTAAATTGGGACAGGATGATGCTAAGTTGAAAGATGACTCAATTTCATCAATGTTAAATTGTGGGACAATGTACATGTTAGGATAAAAGAAATGGGTAATATATAAAAGCTGGTGGCTGAATCGACTTCACTGACACCAAAGGAGCCAGCATTTATCAAGCACTTGCCTTCAAGGCCTTGTACTGGGGGATGAAGGGGTGGTAGATAAATATATGAATGGGAAATACCCTTCAGTCATTAAGAAGCCTACACTGTAGTGGACACAGTTTGAAAGAAGGAAAAACCACAGAATTTGCCAGGCATGGTGGCTCAGGCCTGTAATCCCAGCATGAGGGAGGCTGAGGCAGAGGATCACTGTGAGTTTGAGGCCTGTCTGCGTTCCACAGTGAGACCCTGTCTCAAAAAAAGAGAAAAGACCACAGAATTTGAGGAGTGCTATTGGTAGTAAATTTTGAGCATTTTGCACAACTCGTCTGTGCAAGTGCCCGGTAGGTCCTGTACACTGCTCTGGGGGCTTACACCTTGTCATTTCCTGTTAGATAATGAGGTGTCTTGTTCATGTGTTCACGTTCAGTATGGAGGCAGAGCCTGGAGATGGGAGAGAAAGCACTTTGCTAACAATGTGACCTTGAGTTGTTCACTTAGTCGCTCTGAGCATTAGTTTCTCCATCTCAAAAAACAAATTCTTTAAAGAGGTGGTATTCCCGGGTCCTAGGGCGGATGTGAGGGACTGAGCTAATTAGTCTAAAGCACTGTAACACACAAAGTAGGAAAAAGGAGAAGGAGAGGGGAGTGAAACAGGAGGGCAGGGCCCGACATTCCCCAGGAGGTAGTTTTGGTTGTTGTTTTCTTCTGTAGCTGCCCCAGTGCCTTGGATCAGCTGCTCCGGGAGACCGGCACTTTGGTTTCAGCAAACTTTGGTCATCGGTGCATCCCAGATGACCTCATCCACAGCCTCTCTGGATGACTCTGACCCTCTGCAGCCATCCTCAAACAGGTCCTTGAGGAGCCTTGCTCCCATCCGTGAGGAAACAGAAAGTCTGTAGTTAGCCAGCGGGACACTCTGAATTTGCATTTTATTTTCCCTTATAAACAACTGCTCTTGCATCTTTAAGGCATCCATCTATACACTATTCCCCCTTATCGTGCAACACAAACCTAGTAGAACTTTTTCAGATGGCGTAGTTTTTATCTATTCATAACTTCTATCTTGAATAGAGTATATCATGTTCTGCATTGTTTCCCAGAGCATATTTTCTACAAAAAATTTTACTTGATATCATGAAATGCCACTAGATTTATTCATTTGCTTTCAATGACTTGCTGGATCTCCTATACCAGTTTTAATTAGATTGAGCAACAGGTAACAGAATAAAATAACATGAAGGGGCTGAGGGTATAACAGTATACATAAGATCCTGGGTTCAATCCCTAGCACCACAGGGAAAAAAGAAAAACAAATAAAAAACCATTCTTGGAGGCTGAGGCAGGAGGATGACCAGGTTTCAGTCCTAACAGAGCAATTTAATGAGACCCTCTCTCAAGAAATAAAAAGGGCTGGGATGTAGCTCAGTGCAAAGGCCTTAGGTTCAATCCCTAGTCCCAAAGCAAAACAGCAAAACACAAAAACAAAAACAAAAACCCCCCATGAGGTTAAGTAAAAGCTAGAAGCCTGGAAGCAGGTAACTGAGGATTGTATAGTAGTTCTCTTCCACAGGGTACTCAAGGACCTAAAACTCGGGCTTTACCTGTTCACTCTTCACTGCCCTGGAGGGTCTAGTGGTTTCTTGACTTCATGATCCAAGAAGGTGACAGGAGCTCCAGCCATCATTTCTGCATTTGAGGAAGCAAAGTAGCTAAAGGGACAAAGGAGGGAGAAGGGGCATACCAGCTCTCTTTCAAGGAAAGCTCCAGAGGCTGCCACACACCCTTTGGGCTCCTTCCAGCTGCAGAGAATGCCAGGGAAAGTATTTGCTCTCAGTAGGCACAGGTCTAGATAAAAACGAGATTGCAGAAGGAAGGGAAACACATCTAGCGGAGTAAAGAGGAATTCCTACCAGAGACCCAGGAACACAGCCACAGTCTCTGTGAAGCACCAGCTGAAAATCTTTGGGAAGCTCATGTCTCAGGACATGTTCAGCCATCATCGCCTTCCTCTGTTCCTCTGACTCAGATACCCGCTTGTTCCTGCCTCGGGGGTAAAGCAGACGTCAGAAATCAGTGGGTTTTTCTGAAGCATTGTGCTCAACCAGGTGCTTCTGTTATAGCTGAGCTCAAAAAGACCCAGAACATTTCTGTGTTAAAAAATAGGACACAAGTGGTAAATCCCTGCCACCATTTGTTTTGAAAAAGCATAGGATTTCTTTTTTCCCCTTCCACTCTGCCAGTTTTAGGGCAAGCAAATGGAATCAATAAATCCAAGACAGTTCGCTTCAGGACAGACTGTGAAGGCTGTCTTCTCCTTGGCACTAACTGGCGAGGCTTGGCCACTAATTGCTTAACTATTATTAGATAACTGTGAAACTGCCTGTATCTTACAACTTTTATTAATGTATGATTTGGGGCCAGGAATATAGCTCAGTGGCATAAGTGCCTGCCTGGCAAGCACAAGGTCCTGAGTTCGAGTCCTGGTACAAAAAAAAAAACGAAGAATTAATGTATGATTTGCATGCAATAAAACACACATATCATTGAGTGTGCATCTGGCCAGTTTTGAGTATACCGTTACTTCTTATTTTCAGCCACAGACAGAATATTTCTGACACCTCATAAAGTTCTCTGATGTTTAGGATCAATAGTATTCATCACCTCCTTTTTACTCCACAACCTCTATTTGAGTTTTATTGCCAGTAGATTGATTTTATATACTTCTTTTGTGGTACGGGGATCAAGCCTAGGGCCTCACACATGGTAGGCAAGTGCTCTGTACCAACAAGTCAGCCGGGTTAGCTTTGTACCTACAGAATATCTTTCCTTCCCCTTCAACTCTGCCAATTTTGCATCAGGCAAATGGAACCAGCAAATCCAAGGCAGTTCTCTTCAGAACAGATTTTGAGACGGGGTCTTGCTAAATTGCGGACTGAGAAAACTACCTGCACTCCTATATTTAGCATTTTCTGCAGAACAATTCAAAAGCAGAAGTCACAGCTCCAGAGACCATATCACTAGGGATTGGCCAGCTCTATCTCCAGCACTGATGAAGACAGACAGGAAATTACCAGTTGTACCTACATGGAACCGAAAACCAAGAACTATGACTCATAGTCACTCAGAAAAAGCAACTCAAACCAACCCATCTAAACCAATTTGCTGATGGTAAATAATAATAAAAAAAGACAAATCACCCTAAGGCTTGCTATTTTGGTTTTTATTTTTTTAAAAGAGTCAAAGAGGGGCTGGGGATTTAGCTCAGTGGTAAAAGCACCTGCCTGGCAAGCGCAAGGTCGTGAGTTCGGTTCCCGGTACCGGAGAAAAACCAAAAAAAAAAAAAAAAAAAAAGAGTCAAAGAGAGAGTAGGCATTAACTGATTTTAAGAAACTGTATGCACAGTTAATCTATGAGTCAAGATAGTTACATACTGAAAAAGGTAGTCATATATTAAATTGAACAACTTACACTGTTATGTTGCTTTTCTGGTGCATTCTTTCCTGTTACGCATTTCCACATGAGTCTAATTCAAATCTGTCATTTATGTTATCATAAAATTAAATTATATTCTTTGGTTTCTTTGAAAGCTGACAGTTCCAAATGTGGCTTCTTATTCAAAGAATTCAATCTTTGCCAAAATGCCTCTACTTCGTTCAAATGAATTAGCTCCTATAATGAGCAGGGAATCATCCGAAATTAGTAAGCGGGAAGATTTGAGTTGTCATCAAAATGCTTTGTTGGGCGACATGGTAAGAAGACTGTGTCAGAATCACTTTACAGATCAGCCATTTCCGAAAGGGGAGGGGAGTGTGCGCCGATGAAAAAGCACAAAATTTTCCTCCACTAACCACATGTGCTGGGCAGACAACTTCCTGTCTGTGGCCTCAGGTTCCCCGCAGACAAATGCTGTGCCTACGTCCAGGTCTTGTACTTGGCACCCAACGAAGCAGGATGTGAAAATGGCTTCTAAATTCCCAGGGTCAGTGAACTACAAACAGCAGTTAGCGACTCCTGAGCAGCTGAGCTGTTTTGGAGCAGTAGAAAAGACGTCTCTGTTTGATATTCAGTCATCAAACAGCCTGGAACACTGCTGGAGAGATCCCAGCTCCAGACCCCACTTCACCCAACAACTCCTGTGAAAGACTCTTCACCGTCTCTGTGGCTTCAGCATAGGTCTCAGCGGACCTCTCACTTCCTCTTCTTACTGCAGTGACGGCCACATAGACTCCCTGGAGATGTGAGAGTATACCAAACTCCATCCACAGAAACCTGGGGATTTTGTACGGTTATACTTGAGCCTGTACACCTATGGGTTTCTGTTAAATAGACTTGGAAATGAATAAAAGGTTACCTTGGACAATTTTACTAGAATTCCAGCAGAGGGAGTCAAGGCTGCACTTTCCCTGGGAAATGTGAGTTCATTTCCAAGTTGGCGTACAAAGACGGCCTGCCTTCTTTCCTTCGTATCAGATGGTGGTAGTCATAAGTTTAGTATCTATTGGTGGAGGAGGTACATAGCTAAATTTCATTGCAAATTCAGCTGTGCTTCCCAGGTGGGTTTGCTTGTTACTGATCACAAGAGCCATGAAGCCATTTGGGAGCAGCAGCCCAGGAATGTTACGTGTTCAGTGTACAGACAGTGGGTACCATTGGTGGCCGACTCCTTATCCACACTGTCTTTCTCCTTCTGGTTCGGAACTAGTATTGTTCAATATCTGGCCAATTTCCAGTCCACAGGAGGACCCCAATTAATGTGAAGCAATCAGAGCACATGTCCCTGCCTGTAAATGTAATTAACTGTGAGGTGAACTTGTCACCTTACTTGGCCCAGTGAGTCTGAGGGGAAGAGCTTGTCTACCACGCTAGAGGGAGATGTTTTTCCTCTCTTGCAGACTGGGTTATAAACAAAGAAACATGTTGCTGTTGGCAAATATACCGCAACCCTGAGGAAAATGGCAGAAGAGGAAAAAGAAGAAATGTGTAAGAAGGAAGAAAGGAAAGAACCTGTATTCTATGGCACCTCTGAACTACTAAACCAAATGGCCCTGTTACCTGCAATTCTTGTTTTATGAGAGAAGACTTTTCTGTTTAAACCAGTTTGAGACAAGACTATATTTTGTAAAATTACAATTAAGAGATGTAGTACTTGTGTGGAAAAGTGGCCTTTCAGTTGCCCTGGGCCTATTCAAAAGTCTTCAGCTTTTAAGCTACCTATCAGTGGGGGAGAGAAAATGACAGCACTGGGACCAGTAGCATAATACAACCCCTCCAGGACTTGGAATCCAGACACCTGGAAAACAAATTTATCAAAGAGAAAAAGAATGCTGGGAATCAAGAAAGAGCCAACAGGAATATTAGAAATCACAGAAAAACTGGAGACCACACATAGAACAGAATGAAGGGTCTGGAATGATAACCTGAGTCCCAGGGCGGGGACCTGTGTCTGCAAACCAAGATAAACCTGGAGAGGACCAGCAATCCCCAGAAGAAGCAAAAGACCAGCAGCATTAGTCCCAAGAAAAGCCCACAGTAGTGTAAGATGCAAACACAGTGTGGCATTTTACTCTGAATGTGACTTTTTCTACATGGTACACTAAAGTGGGAGAAGAAATCCAAGAACTGCCTAACATATTTGGGAATTATTAATCAGGAATTATTTAGGGAAGGGGTTAATTGTTTAAGACTGAGATACTCCGAGAATTGGAAGTAATGGCACAGTTACACTTTCTGGGACTAGCCTACCACAATGCCTGGGTGGGAAACAGCCACAAGAAACGTTGCAGAAAGGGAGCAGGCTAGGCGCAGACCCGCTTAGAAGTCTAAGCAGTGGCTACCACAGACTGGAAGGACCTAGTCCTTCTAACCCCAGGTGTGGTCAGAAGCCAGGCCAGTGCTTGTGATTTCTGAGGGGGCTGGGTCTGATAGTGCTGGCATGAAGTCCAGTGGATTGCATGATCCCCGCTCCCCGCCGCTGCTGCCTACAGCCAGCATGGAGCTCAGTGGTCTGTTTGCTTTCCCGATCTGCTAATGTAATCAAGGATGCACCTTGGTGCAGATGGTTACCATCCTCTGGAGTGGATAACAGAAGGGCCTCCGGAGCAAGGGGGCACCTCACAAGCCAACAGACCAGGGAGCTTGGCGGGGAGAGCAGCAATGTAGAGTGCACAGAGGGGCATGGACACTGAGAACTGCTGGAGTGGATATAGCCTTAGGGCAGAAACGAACCCTGCCCTGTGGGGCAGGACTCAGCGCGCGCACACACACACGCACACGCACACGCGCACACACACGGGTGTGGAAGCAAGATAGGGCCTAGTTGTGCCTCACTATTCTTCCCCGCTACTTGGTGGATCCCAATTCTGTGAGCCATGTAAAAGAAAAACCACTCACCCAACATATGAAGTTTTTAAAACTCATTTTTCTTTCTCTTTGTTTTTTTCTTTTCTTTTTTCTTTCTTTTACTCTTTGTCCTATTCTTTTTCTTATTTTCATGCTACTTTTATTTAAATCTATTAACTTACTTCCTTTTATTCTTCAGTTGGATCTTTCATCCCACCTTTCTGTTGTCCTTTTCATCTTCTTTTTCTTTCTCTTTTCAGATTTTACTTTTTTCATTTTCTCTTTCTCCACACCCTCTATTTTTATTATTGTTACATTAAACTTTGTTTTTAAAATTTTTTTTTAGTTGACTAAATGCTGTTATTGTTGAACCATCATTGTTAATGATGGGATAATTGTTGCATGTAGTAGATATTTACTATATGTCAATATTTGGTTTGTCTTCGTGCTTATGTTATTTTTGTAGATCTCTTTTGTATTGATAAGTGTGGTAAATTTGTAGCTTTTATTAGTTCTTTTGGTCTGTCAACATCTGGTTTATCTCCAACTCTATTATTATTGCTGATTTTTTGCTAATACCAACAGGTGGCATAGTTGTTGCTGTTAATTGTTTTCTTACTGCGTGCTGATTCTGGTCTGTCTTTGTGTCATTAACATTGCTGCAGCTTGTTTTCTCCTTTCTGTGTGGTGCTGGGAATCAAGCTTCCAGGAGAAGGTTGGACACTAACAGGACCCTCACGCAGTACACTAAACGGGTTGGAAAGGGGCATTAACACCAAAACATAACGAAACATAAGGAAACATCACAGGGAGACAGAGTTTAACTAAAGAGACTTGTAGAGTAGGGGCAGTGTCTCTCTACCCTGTAGCACAAAATCAGTAGAAATTTGAGAAAGCAAGGCAACAAGATGCCTCCAAAAACCCTTAGCCCCTCAAAAGCTGGTCTCTGGGTACTGAAGTAGAGGAAGTAACAGATGAATAACTAAAAAACTGAAGGGTCAAAATGTTTGAAGAGCTCAAAGAAGAAGCACACAAGCAATTTCATAAAATATTTAGTGAGTTTAAAGAGAATTTTATTAAACAGATAATGAATTTTACTAAAAAATATTTCTCAAGCTAAAAGATAAAACAACGGATGAACTAATTGAGTTAAAGAAGACAATATAAGATATGAATGACAAGTTTGGTGAAGAATTGTAAATTATAAGAGCAAAGCAAGAAGAAATATAAGACATGAAAAATTCAATAGAAAGCATGGCTAGCAGATTAGATCAATCCTAGGTCAGAGCATAAAAATTGAAGATAAGGTGGATGTAAAAGTTCATACACTCAGTTGTACCCTAAAAATGACAAGACAACAAACAAGCTAGGTCTGACAAGTACTACATGGCTCAAAAAAAGGCATTATGTAAATAAAAGAAAAATTATAAGGTCATTCAAAAGGTATAAAATACTTATTCACTGAAATCATAGCAGAAAACTTTCCAAATCTAGGGAAAGAACTCAATATTCAAGTATAAAATGCATATAGAACCTCAAATAGCCATGACTAGAAAAGAATCTACACCATGTACAGTAATAATCAAAATTCAAGAAATTCAACAAAAGAGAATGCTGTTAGAGAAAAGCATCAAATTACTTTATGTTTATTTTTTAGACAGGGTCTCACTGGATAGTTCAGGCTGGCCATGAACTTACTACGTAGGCCAGGTTGGCCTCAAACTCATGATGATCCTCCTGCCTTAGCCTCCCAATTGCTGGGATTACAGGCATGTATTACCATGCCCAGGTAGCAAACAAGGGAAACACAAGTGCGGTGTATTTCGCATCATCCACCTTAAAGATCAGGAGAGCTTGGAGCAAAGCTTTTCAAGCTGTAATAGAAAACAGTTGTCAACCTAGACTTCTATTCCTGCAAATTTACCTTCAACACTGACTTGGAAGAAAAGACTTTCTATGAAAAGAAATCCTAAAGAAATGCATGACCACTAAACCAGCACTCCAGAAAATACTCAAGAAAATTCTAGATAGAGGCAGGTAGGTCACCAGCACCAAAAAGCCCAAAGGAAAATGTACATTTAACTGAGACTAATTTTAAAAAAGGGAAATATAAACAAAAACAAAGAATCAGCACTGGAAAAATAATGCAATGATAGGATTCAGTAAACACCTTACAATTATAACTCTGAAGGTCAGTGGTCTTTACTCCCCAATCAAAATACACAGACAGGCAGATTGGATGAAAAAACAAACTTCAGGTGAACTATGGATAGAACCCATTCCCACAGACTGCACCTGGAACCCAGCTCTGTAGTTCAACTCTAGCCAACTCTGCTTGTAGATTCTGAGCCCTGGATGTGGTCACCAATTAATTTCAACTTTACTCTATGTTCTGTTTTATTTCGACATGGAACAGCAGAAGTGCTGACCCACTGACCAACCCAATGAGGCCAGTGGCCTGGGAGAGAAGGTAAGCCTTGAAGAATCAGATTCAGGGAGAAATAACAGACTGGGCTAGCAGAGCTAGCCCTAAGAAAAGTCTATAGCTGTTGTAAACTACAAAAAACAGTGTGGGATTTTACTCTGAAAGTAATTCCTTTACAGCAAGTTAGAGTTGGACAAGAAAGCCAGTGCGGCATCTGCC